GCTCATATGTTGGCGGGCCGACTCGGCCCGAACCACCCGGATTGACACCTCTATGCTTTCTTGGAATCACAAAATATAGAACAAAAGAGTAGGATCTAAAAGTTTTAACAATCACACTTCATGTATAGGGCAGGAGTTTGCAGAACCCCACCGACAACTCACACATAGAGGATGAGTAATTTGTTTTTACTTTTTTATTGAGTTGGATCCCGCGCGAGAGGGTGTAGGGGTTTTGTACCTTGTCCAAAGGGTTTAATTCAAGTTTTAAACCCACTCTTCAGTAATAATACTAATTGGTAGTTAATGGTGAAAAAATCCAAATGCATTTCAACAAATTCACTGATAGAAAAAATGTGAAAAAATTTAATTTATTGTCTTTCGATATAATAAAATATGCAATAACTTGTAATACCACAAAATTTTTTACCTTAATACACGAAAAGATTAGTTCAATCCACTAAACATTTGCAGCACCGACCTTTTTTATCAAAATAAAACAAAAACAAAAGAATCTATTAGATAAAGTTAGGGTGTAATCCTGTCAGCTTACCAATATCGAAATACAGTCAATTTTGTCAAAGTGAACATCTATGTGAAGAATAGCATATGCAAAGTTTTTAGTTTGATTAAGGAACCCGATTCTCTGCAAGGCTGAAACCCCATAAAAGGATTAAAGAACAGGGTGATCATTACTCACCTGGGAAAACAAGCAAAAAGAAAAGTACAATTATTTCCTTTGCATACACAAGATTTAAGTAATTTACGGGACAACGAAACAAAAGAAACAAGATTACAATCCACATTCTTTTCTGGAAACCAAAGGTCCTAAAACATAATCATTTTCAGTAACAAATTCCATGGATCTTTAAGTTAGCGCTCTCTTTCGACTATAGAAAGAGCGAAAAAGGCGCCGAGCGATGAGGGAGGCTTTGCTTGATGAACCCGTGTACGTCGAAGCAGTAGCATTTTGTACAGAAAATTTATCAGCAGTAGCTGGATATGTACATATCAGTGTTAACTTCTTCTCCAATACACTAACCACCACGGATTGGATCTCTTCTACAAATTGAAGCACGTTAGTAATCATTTTCACTTGCGAAATATGATATCAAATCAACAAATGTCTTGAGATCAATCTTCACCGCCATCTATTTGTAAAAAATTGTGCAAGTGTCACGTCTTTAATGGGAAAAAATAAAAGAAGAAGATGAATTTGAAAAGTCCCTTTCTAACTGCTTAAGCTTACAACCAGTCAGTCTGTGTTCCGAATTGATTTGTGCGAAGTTTCCGCAAGAGGTGGACAGGTGGTACTGAATCGCCCAACAGGGCTTTCCCTGTGACCAAAAAAATCAAATGGAGTATAATCCAAGCGCAGAAGAAAGCTTACCATTCATTTTTGACACAATCTCAGTAACTCTCTGCTGGCACCCTGAACACCGAAAATCTGCTAAGAAAACAAGTTCCTGCTCCTGCTTTGGACAAAAAACATGCCACAAGAGGAGTAGATCAAGGATTTTAATTAAAAAAAAAAAAAAATGAGCCACAAGAAATGTACTTTCAAGGATTTCATGCATAAGGCAACAAAATCCGTTGCTTTTAAGGTACACGGATTTAGATAGATCTTGACAGTATTATGAACAAGATTTTAATTTCTTTTTTTCTTAAATACTGTCTAATGCTATCTAATCCTTACCAAGGAAAAAGAGAGAGAGAAGGAACACGCACAAGAGGCATGGTTAAGGATTCCACGGTGGCAAGGGTGGTGCGCGGAAGATGGCCACCCTTCGACTTAGGTGGCATGTTTCTAACACAAGGAGTTCATTTCTAGCAGCATTTAAGGAATAATAAAACGCAGAGCCACAGGCTAAAAGCTCATTTTCGTCAGGTAAAAGCGATCAGGTAGTGGGCATCGAAAGTGACATTTTATCAGTCTACTTAACACGATGATGGGATCCTGCCATCTTTTATCTGAGATGAGATACAGACGCTTTCTTTGCTAGAGATAATGGGGATTTTAGAGAGAGAACATTGTTGAAAATAAATAATTAAGTTGTTATTATTACAATTAACACATTTTAGTTCCAATTACCGAAAATATGGTTGCTTAAAAGACAAAATCTATCTATTATTCATATTAATTTGTCGCAGTTATGCAATAAAGACAATATTTTCAGGGCTCGACCCCCCAATATACACAAGGATTTAACAATTTCCACAAAGCTTGTTCAAAGTTCGTACATCCAAAAGTTTTTGTGATGATAATCCAGTTCAGTCACTTCAGACTCAACCCCTGATTCAAGGAAAGGTGCATCGCTTCATCAATAAGAATGCATGATATCTGTAAAGGTTTGAGAATTAATCCCCTTGTGTTACCTTTCACACCTTGGTATCAGAGAATTAATGGCCTCTGAGAATTGCCCATTGGCTCAAGCTGATTGATACATACGATCGTCTATAAAGGTTTGAGCCTCTACAAGTTGGAATTTCAAATAATTATTTCTTAGTTACGGTCAAGAAATTTCGTGTAAATCTGAATGCCGACAAACCAGTCCGAGTGCCAACAGAACAGGCAAAACCTTGCACGCCGCAATGCGCAAAAATGTAGACATACGAATCATATATATTTGAATAATGCTTGAATGCCATTTAATACATTCAACACGCTTAAGAATAACTACAATAAAAGGCTAATTTTTTTTAACATCAACAATATTCATGAACTATTTCCACAGGTGCTGAAATATCAAATAGCAAAAAAAACCCATAATAAGGGTATCAATTAACTTCAGAATGTTTAATATTGCGCGGATACTTGTTAAAACACTGCATATGATGCTTCATATGCAGGCCATGAAAATCAGAAATATATTAGAAGAGATAATATACAGTTTACAGACTACAAATGGGAATTCCAATAGAAGATTGGAACGACATAAACCAAACTAAGCATCTTCTAGTAAATTCTGCTACACCAAAACTGAGTGAGGGTTGCAACTTGCAAGACAATACACAATGCAAGGCAATTAGACATCTAATCTACAAAGTCGATGATTGATTCTAGCAAGTAAAAATCTCCCGGCATTGACAAACATAGTCAAGAAACCTATATCTAGAGCTGATAACTGCATCAAACTAATGCATCAGTGTAACATGTATAAGTAAAATGGCTTCTTCATTTTGGCCAAAAAGAGTGCGGGAACTGAAAAAGGAAAAAAGATCACCTAGACATGACCAAGTTTGGAAAAGAAGACGCTACTGATGAAGTGTGGAGAGCATCACCGGCATATTTACAGTTGTCCGCATCAACTTGCAAGGCTGAATTAGACAAGAATCTATCGAAAGCCTGGATTCCCGAATCACTACTATTCAGACCACATTGTACCTTGTGAACAGGTATCTTACTGCGTCTTCTTTTCAACGTCCATCTCAACTGACCAGCAAAATATTTAGTGAGATCCCTAACCATCTTTAATTCCATTGGCTTCTTGTTATCAATGCCAGCCACAGAGTCACCACATCCAACTACAATCTTTATAGGCAACACATTATTACAAATGGAGCCTAAAGGTTCTCTATTTTTATATGCAGCCGCTAGATTATTATCTGAGGATTTTTCCATGCTTTGTTTTGTCTTCTGACTGGACAATACTGAGACTACCTCTGGTCTTTCCTCAAAACAATTCCAGCCATTTTCATACCATTCTTGAGAATGCCTCAAGTCCCCTGAACCAAATATCTGCTCTTTCTTCTCCCCTGCAGATTAATTAATATGATAATTGTTAGAAGCCGAAGGTATGAAACTAGTTCGAGTCAGATGAATAGAGGAAATATCTTTAAGACATAGTTTAAAAATAAATAAAAATTAAAATGATGTTTAGTGATTCACACCTGGGAAATAAACATGCAGCTTATCTTCAGATTCTTTCTTCACTACAATGCCTTCCCACCATCCATCGTGCCACCAAGCATCAACAATGCTTCCAACATTAACTATGTTGGAAAGTTTGCCCCCATGAGACAATGGCATGGGTCTAATAATGGTCCTTCCACAAATCCGGATACCTAACTCATCTGGCACAGCTAATCGAGATGCCAAAACCCACTCCTAAAAAGTGAGAAAAAAAAAATATGATAAGAAAGCATATAAAGCAGGAATAATTTGCAAAGAAAATACACAAACTAACAACAATTCAGCATATTCACCTCCAGATTTTTTGCATCATCATCTGCATCCTTGATGTCTTGATACTTCACTTTGACCTTATCTCTGTGGCTCTTGATGATCAGAGCTCTGAACCAGCACCCTCTGATGCCACTATCTTGAGAAAGCACTTCAACATTAGATCCCATGGTCAAACTTTGAATACACATTGGCAACACTGCATCCTTTCCTGATAAGGGTACATAAGAGCGTGCTCCTTTCAGTCTGATCTTTCCCATTCCACCTTCACACCTGTAAAGATGACCACTTCGATCTTGTATGCTAGCATCAGCAGGCTCTCTATTGTCAGCAAAATACAAGTTTGCTTCACTCTCTTTGGACCAGCGAAGTCTCTTCTTGGGTCTAAAAGTTTCTTCTGCCATCGTATCATCATCAGAAGTTTCAAGTGATGGGAGGGGAAATATTTCTTAATACTTTCTGTTTCCAGTAACCTTTAACTCGTGTGATGTCAAACGGCTTGACATCATCATTATCAAACAGTCTACAGCAAATGAATGGGTCCAACTGCATATCTGTGGCCACATTAAAAAATTTCTCATAATGCTCCGGACTGAGGACAGTTGCCAGACCATCTATGCATTCAATGCTGAGATCTTGAACACAAAGAGAAAAGAAAATCTCTCTGTCATTATAGTTACGAGGCAAAACAAAACCAACCTCGTCAATATTGTGAAACCATTGCACCACAACCATCTTGTTTCCTCGAGAGTCCTCGTACATATCATCTAAGTACGCAACAAGCCGTTTACCTTCTTCAGCCAACACATACACAAAGTCGTGAACCTGAAAGTTATAGCATAAGAGGGCAAAAAAAGTATATAATCAGTACGAGAAACACAAACAGGCATTTATTTAAACAATCAATTTATATTGCTCTGAAAGAAGAATAAGAGACGTATTAGAATCTCACAGATATTTTTACACCATTCCGGCGAAAGGATTCATAGTGTCTGCGCCTTTTTTGACAACTCCATGGTGAACCTAACCACAGAAACTCTGCCTTGTGACTCAGTTTCCACATTTGATCATCCTAAAAAATAATTAATTAAGTAAACAAAATGATAAATATGATTGAACCATATACTCTCCAACTAGAAGAATTAAGCAAATTGAATAAAAAATAAAAACCATAGTTTTATCAGCTAACCTCGATAATATCAGTATCCAACTTGTGACTGTCTTTGCTTTGCATAAAACCGTCAAATTGTTTATATGAAGGTCGTGGATGTGCATCTGAAAGTGGATTCATAATTAATACAATGAGTATCATATCACTAAGCAATCTTCAGAGAGCACAAGGATGAAAACTATTAAAGAAACACTAGCCAAAAAAAAAATTACAAGTACGAAGGAAAACAAGACCATATGCAATAATATTAGGAATAATTGTAGCATGAAAAACCACAAATTCTCCCAAAACTTTAGGATGGGAAAAAGTGTAAAGGGCTTAAATATCTTAAACTCTCATCAGCAAAATCCTATTTTTATTCACCGCAATGGTCATGAAAAACATAACAAACAGAAAACCTAAAGTACAATCATGAGAGAACATTGTAGATGTTAACCTAGATTGGGGAAAGGAATTCCAAGGCTCTCAACCAGCTCTTAGAAATTGATTTTAACAATCCTGCATCCCAAATAATTGTCAGTTTTCCATAAATGAGCACCACACATACATTGACACGATGACACAGTATTACAAGACAATGCTATGATGTAAACACAAATAGGAGAAAACAGAAAGGGCGCACAACAAACATTGCTAGCAGAAGCAACAAGGCAAAACCGGAATGAAATTAACCCATAACTCCAAAACAAACCATGTAAAAAATGAACTTTATGTAGAGGTAGAGCATATATTTGTGAGTTCTCTTTATTAATTCTTCAGAGCAATACATTTACAGATATTAGTTAGAAGTCCCCAAATCAAAAGTCAAACTAATTCATAAGTCAATATTCAATTGTGAGTTCAGTATACAAAACCAAATATCCTTAAATAAGCTGTTGTCAAACTGAAATCAATCTACTACTCCCACATAATTAACAAGAAAATCCACCAAAAAGGAGAAATGGGGAGAGAGAACATGTCTATACGTGAAACAAATTGCTTTTATTAAAATTGCAAGAAACATTTTTTTCATTAGCTCATAAAAAGCTTCTTTCACCGTTAGCCATTATGTGAAGTTTATTAAGGTAATTTTGTTAAGCGATTTTTTGGGAGAATGTGCGGTTAAAAAATAGGGAAAAGTTGTGGGTTTTTCTGGGAGAACTTGTAGTTGAAAATAAGCGCAAAGAAAAAGTGATTTTGAAAAAAAAAATCAATTTCAAACAAGGGCATAAAGAATCGAGGTTATATGAAATTCCATTCGTATAAAATTGCATAAGCCACCCTTGATATATTCAGCCCATGTTTGATCCTCATTCTCTAAAGACTCATTTTTCACCAAACTCATTTTCAACCACATATTCTCTCAATAAAATAGTTTTACACGTAAATTCAAAACTTTTCCAAATTTTTTAATCACACAATCTTCAAAATATTCACTATTACAAAACATATTTCCTAAAAAATAGAGCTAAAACAGAGCATCATTAGGAAGAAGACACGACATAACAAAACCTTTACCCAAATAAACTTACGACTACAGATCAAAACTCCTCCAAAAAAAGAAAAATCTAAGTAAACGTGAAGTTGAATGCATTAGAATTCATTCTCCCAAGTGCTGACGACAACCATCTCAATCAATTTTCCCAGAATCTATATTTCTACAAGTCTTTAAAACCACCATTCACAAATTTCAGAATGACGGGAAACCAGGCTAAAGACAGTCTCTATCCCTCTGCATATCCCAAAACCCAAAATCTCCTCGGGAAAAATAAAATAAAATGCTCACAGCCAACAAGTAAAGGAAAAACAGAAAAAATTACATATGTAGGCCCTTTTGAAAGACACAGAAAACAAAAATATACACATGAAATCACGAAAAGATATTTAAAAGCGTTTTCGTAAAAGCTATCTTCCACCTCCGTAATTGGATAAATTTCTGAGCAAAAACATCAGGAATCTTTTAGATCTACCAAACAAAATACTACGAATCCCCCAAAAAATCTCTCAAACCCCCTCTCTCTCTCAAGAAAAGGGCACAAAAGAACCCCCGAACATACTAAAAACACCAATTAAGTCCAAAAATGACAGTTGCTTTCGAAATAATTGAAAAGAAGTAATTTTACAATTTCACAGAAATTTAAAGATCCGAAGGCGAATTTATACCCGGAAAATTCATTTCCAAAAAAATATCCATCTCAATAATTCCGAGTCCAATTTTTATTTTTACAAAAATTACTGTATGAAAACAGATTTAACAACTTACCGCTTATAAAGATAAACACACAGATAGGGAAAAATAAACATTTTGTTATTCCAATAAAAAGTTTATGCCCCGAAACCAAATATATTAACATAAAAGAAAAAGGCAAATCAGAATTAAAAAGTACCTGGAACAATTGTATTTAGCCAATCGATGACCTCTCTTCTGGACCGCAGCTTCAAGAGAGAAGAACGCTTCAAGGTCGAAAGCAAAGACTTGTTATCTTTAACCGCGTAATAATACGACATGTGCCTTGGGCTCTTCTCCTTTCCGACAACCACCAGATCTGCCCCGCCACTGCTCCGTTTGAGGTAATAGCGGACCTGCCGCCGCCCCTTCTCGTTCGATACAACCACCTCCTCCCACCGCGTATACAACGCCGTTGAATTCACCATATCGTTAATTAAATAAATTATATTTTATTTTATTCAAAACGACAGGACTGGATGAAACGGAGAGGATAGATGAAACGGAAATTTTTTTTATTTGGTTTTTGAAGGAAATATGTTTTTTGAAAGTTGAATATATAGTTGGGGGCTAGGGTTTGGATATTGGAATGGACGATGAGGATTGCGATAAATTTGGCGATGCTGCGGAGGAAGTTTCTGAAGGCTTTTTCAGTTACGGAAATGCCCCTGGAATTTCGCGAATTAACTTGTATGCCTGTTCTGATAACGCGTTTTCTGTGTAAGCTCTAAAATTCACCATATTATTATTGTTTTATCATATAGATTAGATGCCAAATTAATTGATTTTGATAAGATACAGATATTTTAAAATTATTATTACAAAAATAATTTTAATTTTAGTTGTGAATTATTCACCAATACTATAAATTTTTTAACAATAGAATCATGCTTTTTTTAAATAATTTTGTTCAAGAAAAATTAAGTCTCTTGATTCTGAATTAATTATATTTATTTGCTTAAATCAATATTTTAGATCGTAAGTGAACGACAATGAAAGAGATTCATTATCCATAATCCGATCATAACTCTTGTGGAAATGGAGAAAGTCGTTAAATTGAGGAGTATATAGAGCATGGTTTGAATTTAAATCGAACTCCTCCCTCTAGTTGGCTTTTATAAATTGTCGATCAACATGGACGATATGATGCATCAACTCGGCCAGCAATATCAGATTTGTTTGTTAAATTACTCGATGAAGAAAAATGCTCACATAATAATTTTATTAAAGATTTCTTTAGCGAGTAACACTTTTAAAAGATTATATTTTGGACTATGCATATAATTTTTTTTTTCCAAATGAGTAAATAGATATCGTCAAATCAGTTATCATTTTTAGACTAAAATCAAACAGTGAGATAAAAACTTAGAAAAAAAATGAATCTTTTCCAATTATCTGAGATACCATGTGCATTAATTTCACAAGAACTCCATTATCCAAATACTATTTTTGCATTAAGAAGTTGGTTTTTGAAAGTGTTTTATCCGATTAAAAAAACTTTTAAAAGGGAAATTAATTTATGGTCATTTCCTCGTGTAAGCTATTCTACAAAAAGAAAAGCAGTAATTCTATCAAACAAGTCATATATCTGTTTGGCATTAGCTTGATGTTATATCATCAATTTAAATGACACTAAGTGGCAATAAATTAGAAGTATTATTGAAGTAGTCACATAATTCTATTTTTAATTGAGCTTATCATATGGTGCAACTTAAACTAATGTTGTAGGCTTGTAGCACTTGTTATGTTAGATAGCATTATTCAAAAGAATACGTGACCTTTATTTGAAGTTTGTGCGCCTTGTGATGCTAACACGAAGCTCAATTAGGATCTTTCAATTTGTACAATATCCTACATAAATAAAAGAGTCACTTTTTCTTTACTGAACAGTCGAGCCGAGCCAAATGGCTTGATGGCTCTGCTCGGCTTTGTTTGATTCAGTATAATGACTTGACGGCTCGACTCGGCTAAACCCTTTTTTTTTATTCAATATTTTAAGTTACAAATATTCGTTTTAAACTATTTAA